CCCCCCGCCGATACGCCAGGCCCCACCCCCAATCCGCCAGGCCCCTCCCCTGATCCGCCAGGCACCGCCACCCATCCGACCTGCCCCACAGGTACTGACCACCCCACCACCACTCTGGCAGGCTCTGCCGCCCCCACCACCACTGAGGCAGGCCCCGCAGGCTCGGCTGCCCACCCCGCAGCTGCGGGCGGCCCCACCGGTGCGAGCGCCTCCACCAATTCGGGTGGCCCCGCCAGCACCTCAGGTGCCCACGGCGCCTCCTGCTGGCCCCCAGGCGCCCCCAGTGGCCATGCCGGCCCCTCTCCCGGCCCCACTGCCTGCCCCCCAGGCTGCGCACTGCCCACCCATCATCTGGCAGGCCCCCAAAGGCCAAGCCCCGGTGCCACACGAGATGCCGACATCGATGGAGTTCCAGGATGTGCAGCAAGGCCAGGCGCTGACCTGGCAGGCGCCAAAGGCCCCTGGGCAGTTCTGGCAGCCCCTGCCCACCCAGGAGGCCCAGAGGCAGGGCCCATCGTTGGTTCAACTGGAGCAGCCCTTTCAGGGGGCCCCAGCCTCCCAAAAGGCCCTGCAAATCCAGCTACCCCCCCAGCAGGCCCAGCCCTCGGGTTCGCAGGCAGAGCTGCCATCCCTGCAACCCCAGCCCTCCTGGCAGGGCCCCCCTGCAGCCTCGCAGGGCCAGCCCGGAGCCCCCTTAGCAGGGGCAAATTTTCCCATGGGCTGTGATAAATCATTGATGACTCCTTCAGGAGAATCCAGGGCCTCTTCTATAGACCGAAGGACCTCTTCAAAGGAACGTAGGACCTCTTCGAAGGAACGCAGGGCTCCTTCGAAGGATCGCATGATCTTTGCTGGCACCTTTTGTGCTCCGAGGGCAGTGCCGACTGCCCGGGCGCACCTGCCTACGCCCTGGAAGAACTTGCCTGGGGCATCAGAGACCTTTACTGCCACCCCGAGGGTCTTTCCAGCTACCTCCCAGTTCCAGCCTGCCTCTTCGAATGCCTTTCAGGGCCCCTCTGCCAGCTCAGAGGCCCCAAAGTCACTGCCATTTGCTCTGCAGGATCCCTTTGCCTGCGTCGAGGCCCTGCCGGCAGTTCCGTGGGTGCCACAGCCCAATGTGAGTGCCTCGAAGGCGTCCAAGGCAGTGCCCACCATCCTGCTGGCCACGGCAGCTGCCCCCAAGGCAATGGCCACCACTCAAGAGGCCTCGAAGACCGCCGCTGAGCCTCCTCGTCGGTCAGGCAAAGCCACCCGGAAGAAGAAGCACCTGAACACGGAGGAGGATGGCAGTGGTCAGATGCTGGGCATGCGCAACTGGCAGCCCCCCCGGCGCTGGGAGAGTGTGGACTTGAATGAGTGGGGGGTCCTAGGTGGCTGGGAGGGCCCAAGCACCTCCCATGGTCTGAGTGGCTGGGAGGGTCCTAGCACCTCCAGGATCCTGAGTGGCTGGGAGGGGCCCAGCACATCGTGGGCTCTGAGTGCCTGGGAGGGTCCGAGCACCTCCAGGGCCTTGGGTCTCTGGGAAAGCTCATGCAGCCCTCAGTCCTTGGTCATCTCTGAGCTCCCCAATCTGGCTCAGGGATTCGGTGCCCCCCAGGATGACCCCACACTGGAGAGGCAGCCACTGTCTCCCTTAGATGAGAGGGCTAATGCACTGGTGCAGTTCCTCTTGGTCAAGGACCAAGCCAAGGTGCCCATCAGGCGCTCAGAGATGGTGAGATTCGTCATCCGTGAATACAAGGACGAGTGCTTAGAGATTATCAACCGTGCCAACCACAAGCTGGAGTGTGTTTTTGGTTATCAGCTGAAGGAGATTGATCCCAAAAACCACTCTTACATTCTTGTCAACAAGAGTCACAAGGGGGGAGCAGGGCCGTCCTACCTGGACCGGCCCAAGTTAGGCCTCCTGATGGTGGTCCTGAGCCTCATCTTTATGAAGGGCAATTGTGTCCGGGCAGACCTGATCTTTAATTTTCTGTACAAATTGGGGCTGGATGTCCGGGAGACCCACAGTCTCTTCGGAAACACAAGGAAGCTCATCACCAAAGTGTTTGTGAGGCAGAAGTACCTGGAGTACAGGCGGGTCCCCCTCACTGAGCCCGCAGAGTATGAGTTCCTCTGGGGCCCCCGAGCATTCCTCGAAACCAGCAAGATGCTTGTGCTGAAGTTTCTGGCCAGGCTCCATAAGAAAGATCCACAGTGCTGGCCGTTCCAGTACTTGGAGGCTCTGGCAGAGTGTGAGTCTGAAGATGCTGATAAGGATGAGCCTGGCCCCGGTGATAACGCCGATGACCCCACCAGCAGCCCCCCTCCCAGCTAATGTGGTTTAGCAGCTACCTTCTCTCTCATTGTTCCTGTTCCTTTGGGTCCCCGGCCAAAGGCCACTGACAGGGTGGGGTGGGGGGGACGTTTTGTTTCTGGTGTTTATGTTCCAGTTCTTTCTCTGTGTAAGTTTGGACTTCAACTTGCTTTCGTATCTGCCAAAGCTTTGTACATTTTTCATGTGGTGTTGATTTCAATCAGCTACTGTTCTCTTTGGTATTTTGGCATCTGTATTTTTTAAGTGAGATCTGTGATTCTCCTGTTTTGTGTTATAATTGTTAAGTTTTTTGGTATCAGAGTTGTGCTGGCTTTGTGAAATGAATTGAGAAGCTCTCCATCTCATTCTGGTACAGATGATGTAGCATCAAACTAGGCTGTTCTTTGATGTTAAAAATGACTCATCAGTTAAAGCTGTCTGCAGAAAAATAAATATCTATATCTATATATATAAATATAATTTCAGCATAACATGGAAGTGTTTGTCTTTATTCTAATTTTTATTCCAGATGGTGGAAGCCAAGTTCACCCAAATGGAGCTGAGCATCAAGACAACAATCAGGGAGAGTAGGAACCATGGTGACAAAGCTGTTTTTCAAAGACAGTGCTACACGCATCACAGCGATGCAGTGATTGTGTTGGGTGGTGAGACGTAGGATTGCCATAAAAGCAGGGTGAAAACTTTACAAGTCAGCGAGGCTGAATCAAGAAGAGGTGGTCTATCTCCTCTGATCTGATCCTCGCAATGGTCCTTCAAAGTAAGCATCATTCCCATTTTCTAGGTGAGTGTATAAGGCTCAAGTAGATTAATTAAATGGGACATGTCAGTGCCAGGAAGGTCAGTAAATTTGTACTGTGAAGCAGAAAATTTTCTTAAGGTTATATGGGAAGGGAGGACCACATGCCTACAGGACTATAAGAATCCAGATTTGTTCGTCACATGGATGTCCAGCAGCTCAGGGAATTTGGGCTTATCAACACTTTGACACTGACATTGAAACATGCTCCTTGAAAAACATCCAGGTTTATAACAGGGAAGAGGAAATACCAGGCTGCAATGAATTGGGGATCCTGCAGGGTGCTGGTGGCCGGTGGGGAGAAGGATGGGGACCACATGGGGGTTCAACCTAAGCCCCTGGGAAGAGGTCATCAATCATAACACACTGGGGACGTCAGCCTGCGACGTCGGAGGCTTCTAAATAATGGTAGTTAGCCCTTGGGGGCAGGCCTGGTGTGGGAGGGAAGGTGATGGGGAAGTGAACCCACCTGAGTGTTTTGGAGAAAGATATTCATGCACACTTGACTGGGCTGGTGTATGCAAAAGGATTCCCCTGAAGTTACTACTCTTTCCCGGTGGATGGGGAACATGAGCTTTGCTACTGCATCTCCACTGTCCTGGAAGGATCCAGAACCCCACCCTAACCCGCCCTTCTCTGGGTGGGGATGAATTTCCAGAGGAGTAAATGGCTAAAATGGTATTCTCCTGCCACCTAGCGGCACGTTACGGTTCTGCCGCTCCTGACGCCGCGCAGTGCAACCCGGGCGGCGAGGATTAACCTCACACCCCAAACACCTGGGTTTAGGTTAGTACTTGATTCACAACTTTTGCCCACAATTTTACCTGCATTCCTGCCCAAACGTTTCCCTTTTTATGTCACAGGACAAGGTGAAACCTCTTCTCCAAGTCCTAGCACCTAGGAAGTTGAGATTCCAGACGGAAGATGAATTCAGGACGGAGAGTCTGTTCTGAGCACAGAGCTGTGCTTTCTAGGATGACTGCCTCCACCCCAGGACCTGCCCGGCTCAGGCCGTCTGTGGCAAGTTGTCCAAGTGGTCAGGTCTTCCAGAAATTCGGAGGGGGTTTCTTGTAAACTCCGCGGGTCTGAGAGTACCCTGCTTCTGCCCCAATCAATCTTCGGTAATTTTGACACCAACAAGTACCCATTGAAGTTAACAACATCGTCCCAGCGGAACACCATCCCCAAAAGAGGCTTTGCTGGGCTAAGAAATGGGCATGAAGGTCTGATATTTCTCTTTGGGTTTTACTTTATTTATTGTTATTTTTTAAAAGAGTTTTCTCCAAATCATTTACTCATGGGGGACTGTTCATCTTTGTGGAAAAAGTTTGGAAAGTGGCCTCTTAAGACTTTGGTCCCATGCTTAAGATACAGTCTACTCCACGGCAGAAAGGCTCATCTTCCATTTGCAGTTCTCCATCTCATTTATCTTATAATCAGATATAAAGCAAATCACCTTATCTAAGCAATGCCAGGGGCTTAAGACCTGGCCTGAATTAAAATGTATTGAGAGATAAATTACAACAGTAATAAAATTTTAACAGGAAAGAAAAGAAATCGGCTGAATAGTCAACTGAAAAGTTTAAGAAAAAACCGCTGACATGATGAAATCAGGAGGCGGAAAACAAAAACCCAGGAAAATGTGAAAATACACGGTAAGAAGCAATGGGAGAAAGTCCGAGACCCATTATTTCAAAATTCTAAAATGTAGCTATGTTTAGTATGAAGATTTTTATTTTGAAATGAAGAAAAAAATAAAACCTCTGTAAACTAAATGGACAAATGACATCAGGTGACAAATATATATATATATATATATATATATATATATATATATATATATATATATATATATATATATAAATGGAAAGTGTCATTGAAAACTGTTCCACCACAATAATATAAAGACATAAATATTAGACCAGTATTCCAGCTTTCATGTATTACATTGGTATAGGATAAAGTAAAAGCTCATGGAATATCCAGAATAAAGTTTTTATAAAACTTGCACCCTTATACACTACCAATGAAAGTATGCATTACTACAAATTGCCTTGAAATAATTCAGCCAACAACATCTTCAAGAGATTTAAAAATGTTAATGCTGTTTTATCTAGACATCCCTCATAAGGGAATATATTGAATAGAAAACAAATCTGCAATAGAGGCAAAGGCTTTTTCACACAGAGAGGTGCTTAGGAGAGTGGAGGGGACTTATTATGAAATACACACCTGTCCCCCCACACAAACACACTAGTGTCAGTCAAGGTGGTCCTGTGAGTTTTCTGTTGAAAAGACCCAAGGCTTCTTTAGAAAATGACTTGCAGTTTGCTCCCTCACAAAATTATGTGCTGCAGATCAGAGAAATGACAACCTGTACCTGGAAACTCTGAAAGTGGGTTCTAGTAGACCCCCATCAAAGTGTGGACTGTAAATAAGTTCATTTATGTCATTGTTTTGGATTCCACATGTAAGTGATATCATATGGTATTTGTCCTTATAAAATAGATAAATAAGGTCCTACTGTATACCACAGGGAACTATATTCAATATCTTGTAGTAACGTGTAAGGAAAAATTACATATATATGTATAACTGAATTAGTATGCCATACAGCTGAAACTAACAGAAAACTGTAAATCAACTATACTTCAACTGCAACCAAACAATGCCAGGGAATGAGCTCAGTAAAAGCCATTTCATATTAAACTGTAGACTCTTAAAGAAGAGACATTTAAAGTGTTTCTCAGAGTGATGAAACCAGTGCACTGTTTTAAAGGATGTTAGTTATAAGCCAGTTAATATTTCAGGGTGTTTACCTAAAAATGATGCTCTGAATTTTAGGGTAATATTTCTATAAATAAGCCTTTCCTCCCGAGAGCAGGAAAGACAAGGAAGCACCAGTTGCTTGTGCAAACCAAACATAAAGGTACGTGGTCAGCAGACAAGAATGCATCACTGCAGCTGGGATGAACAGAGGACTCTCTGTGGCATGTAGCACATTTACCCTCAGAGTTAGAGACACACCCACACCACGTGGCACCTTCTTGTCCATTGCCAGAATACTCAGAAGGACATGGGAGCAGCGCTGACTCTCCTACCTCTGGGTACTGAGGTGGGAAGCCCCATGAAAAAGACAGCAGGACGCCCCAGACAGGGTCACTACCCTCCTACCAGCACCATTTGGTTCCTTGGTCCAGCGGCATTATTTCACTTTTTAAACTCTGGAAACACAGCTTACTTCTAAGAAAACGGAACTTACCCCCTAAGATTCTATTGGTTCCCTGTGCTAACTCCTGATTGGTCCATTTCTCTCACTCCTAATTGGCCCATTTCTCTCACTTCTGATTGGTCCATTTCTACAAAGCTTGTTCCTAATTAGTCACTTTTGTTACACCTTATTTGCATATGATGTTGCAAAGTGTACACTGGCAGCCTATAAAAGCCTATGTAAATCTACAGATGGGGTCCAGAAGTGTTAACTCTTTTGGGCCCGCTGGCATAATAAACCTGAATTCTCCAACCCTCTGAGTGATGCTTTGTCTCTCGCCCGGATCCAGGTTGCTGTCACAACTGAGCTGTAACAAACTTTGCTGCAACACTACCAGCACCTAAACTGGGGGCACCTTTTCCCCGTTTGGTCAGTCTATCAGACCTGCCAGTTTTGCCACTTCACATGGCCACTGTCCTACCTTCTTTCCATTCCTGCAGCCACTATTTCTTGCCTGGATTTGGCAGCTGCCTTTGAGTGGCCCCTACCCTCAGTATTGCCTCTCATGCAAACAGCTGCATTGGCTGCCCAGATCATAACACTTCATTCTGTCTAAACCACTTGATGGCTCTTTATATTCCCCAGAATTAGACATAGCCCCTCCTCAGCTCACTTTCCTCATCCTGTGGGTCAAGGATCATCAAGTTAGAGGTGGTTTCATCTAAATTGGGATTTACAAATGAGGCAATGAGGCCAGGGGTCCCTCTGCTGGGTAGTCAGAGGAACTCCTGTGTGAATCGTATTCTGCATTGACATCCAGGTGTGTCAGCAGGATGAGTCTTAAGGAGAAGACCCTGGCTTTTAGTTTACAGACTTCCTGGTTTCTCTTGGAAAGTCCTGGGGCACTAGAAAGACATCTGGCTTCTCTGGAAAGAATCTCTAGGGAAGGAATCTCAGGAACCCATCTTTAGAGAACAAGCCACACTTCTCTGAGTGCAAGCAATTTCTTTCTTCCAAATTGTCCAGAGGGTCCCAGTGTGAATCCCACGAAGAGAATTCTAACACTACTAGCCCATTGGTCCAAGCCACTAGGGCTTTTAGATTCTGAAAGTTATATTGGCCCCTTTCTGTTTTGAGAGATGGCACCTTCAATACTAGTCCCCTCCTGTTTGCTTGATGGCACTGCAGGAATCACTCTGGTTTCTCAGGGGGATACCCTTCTCTTTGCAAATGAGTTTACTCTGCCAACTGCCAGTGCTCCTCCCAGGGAGTCTCTCTGTCTTTCTCTGCCCTCATTTGTTCAGACTAACTTCAGCTTGAGAACCACACTTAACAGAGGGATTCGTGTTGTCCACCTAACCAGCAATGACCACGGAAGAATTTTCTAGATCTAGTAGACTTCCTAGGGTGTGCTGTGTGGTGGCTCAGAATCTCCTCTGAAACAGAGCTGGCTAGGGCCACAAAG